GGCCAGAGGGTTGACGGCCCGAATCTGGGGCAGCATGTACCCGACCTTGGAGTCTCGCGGCAGGCCAGGGAGGGTATCGAGGAAAGCCTGCAGCTCGGGGTCGCTCTTTGCCAGCTGGGCGACGACAGGGTGGGTCGATGCCAGAGCCAGGTATTGCACGCCGAACAAGGTGTCCGGCCTCGTGGTGAAGACTTCGATCGCGGCGTGGGCGTCCTGTCCCATGGCCATGACGGGAAACTTGATGGTGGCGCCTGTCGACTTGCCGAGCCAGTTCTTCTGCATGGCGAGGACCCTCTCAGGCCAGGCTTCTTCCTTGGCGAGGGCCTCGAGGTCGGCGAGGAGAGCGTCGCGGAACTCGGAGATGCGGAAGAACCACTGCTTCAGCTGGCGCTTCTCGACCTTGGCCCCAGACCGCCACGAGCAGCCATTGGCGTCGACCTGTTCATTCGCTAGCACAGTCAGGTCGACGGGGTCCCAGTTGACTTCGGATTCGGCCTGGTAGGCGAGGCCTCGTTCGTGCAGCATCAAGAAGAGCTTCTGGGTGTGTTTGTAGAAATCGGGATCGCACGTCGTGATTTCCTACGCAGGCGGCGTCAGAAACGAAGGACGAGAGAGTACACACAATAGAAGTTCATACCTTGCTCCAGTCCCAGCTGCCATGCATCTTGCCCAGCTGCTCCTTCATCTTGGCGATGTTGGAAGTCGTCCAGGTGGCGGGGTTGATGCCCCTCTCAATGGCAGCGTTCTCGGCGGGCAGACCGAATGCGTCCCAGCCCATTGGCAGCAGGACCTTGGACCCCTGGAGGGAGTGAAAACGCGCCACGACATCGGCAATGGTGTAGACTCGCAGGTGGCCCAAGTGCAGAGTGCCGGAAGGGTAGGGGAACATGGGCAAGACGAACTTGGTCGGCTTGTTGTCGTGGCTCGCGGCAGGCTCTTGGGAGGAAGCCCAGTTCTCACGCCATTTCCGATCAAGAGCAGGCAGATCGAGTCGATCGGTTCGGTGGTCGGCATAGCCTCGTCGCTGGTGCAGACAGGGAGACTTGTGAGGCTGTCGAACGGAGATGAGAAGAGGCTGGCGGGGAAGGGGAGTTCGCAAGGCGGCAATGGCAGCCTTGTTGGAGGACCATTGCTGGCCTATTCGTCGTGCACAGAGCGACTGCATCATGGTGTTGGCATGGTCAGGGCAGCGATGTGTGTAGGTGAAGCTGCCGTGGTGTCATGGGCGTGGTGGATGCGACCGATAGCAGGCAAGCAACAAACAGCAAGCCGAAACAGCAAGCCGAATGTGGAGAGGTGAGGCGAGGTGAGTCGAGGTGAGCTTGGTGAGGTCAGAGCCTTGTCGATGCTCAGAACATTTTCTGGAGACGCGGCAGAGCGAGGGACCCCTGACGCGACGGGCAGCTTAGTGGACATCCTTGCCATGCTTTCGGGGGGTCTGCAGCAGCCGGGCCGTATCCGGTTAGCTGGGTACGAGTTGCACCGGCACACCACTAATAAGGCAGACGAGCACCAGACACGGGCCACCTCTGTAGCTGCATGAAGCATCCCACCCTCCTTCACCTCTTTGGAAACCGTGGTGTATGGGCCTGCAGGAATGCCACCTCCGGTACAGCGCAGAGCTGCATGGCCGGGGTTACAGTACGTGATATGTCTCTTTCCCACAGAATTTCCGATCTCGGCCACTCATCGTGGGCGCGTGTTGAAGCTGACTGAGGCAGGAGACAAGAGTCAGATCCAACAGCTAATTAATTACCTTACTCGGATTGCAGCCCCCAGTAAACTCGGATTGACGGAACCCCCCGCTACCAGCTACTGACAGTCCAGGTGACGGGCTGCCAGTGTCAGGTGCGTGGGGTGGAAGGAAGTAGGAAGAAGGAAGAAGGAAGAAAGAGCCGCTGGCAGCCGGGAGCAGGAAGCACGGCCGCTGTCACTGCCCCGCCTTCAGACTCTGGATGGACTCAACACACGTCAAGGGAATCCTCACTCTTCCGCTTGCAGGCGCGTTATCATCCCTCGTTCAGCCGCGTCCCAGACCTCGTGAGCAGCGAAACGAGCGACGTCGGCCTCACCCATCTTGATCTATTGGCAAGACAAGGGTTGTACGACAACTCTGAGTTTCGCCACGATCGTCGACTTGGAAGGGTCACTCTTTTTTTCTTTCGGCCATTTTTACCCCTCCAACTCGGGTTGAACCCCGCCACCTCACCCATCACAGCTTCAGCACCACCATCTCAAAGATCCATATCGCCGACCACGGCCAACTCTCATCATGGACAAAATCACAGACAAGATCGCCGCTCTGCCGGCCAACGCCAACTACTTCTCCCTCGAGTTCTTCCCCCCAAAGACGGCCATGGGCTTCTCCAACCTGAGGGATCGTCTGGACCGCATGGAGAGGGCCCTTCGCCCCTTGTTCGTCAACGTCACATGGGGTGCCGGCGGCTCCACGGCCTTCAAGTCTCTCGAGCTCGCCGAGATTTGCCAGCGGGAGCTGGGCCTCACCACCTGTCTTCACCTGACCTGCACCAACATGAGCCGCCGTCTCGTCGACAAGGCCCTGGATGATGCCAAGGTCCTCGGCATCCGCAACATCCTGGCCCTGCGTGGTGACCCGCCGAGGAAAGCCGAGTACCAGGACGCGGTCGACGAAGAGTCAGACGACGACGAAGATTTTGTCTGGGCCACGGACCTCGTCAAGTACATCAGGAAAAACCATGGGGACTACTTCTGCATTGGCGTCGCCGCCTACCCCGAAGGCCACGCCGAGGAGAGCCACCCCCTGGGGCAGAGCCTCGAGCACGACCTACCGTACCTCGTCGAAAAGACCCAGGCTGGTGCCGACTTTATCATGACGCAGCTCTTCTTTGACATTGACGCCTACGACCACTTTGAGCAGGTCCTGAGGGAGCACCCGAGCGGCGCCTTCAAGACGATACCTATCATCCCCGGTCTCATGCCCATCCAGAGCTATCAAATGATCAAGAGGACAACCAAGCTGAGTCACGCCAAGATTCCCGATGCGCTCATGGCCCGGCTCGACGCCGTCAAGGGAGACGACGAAAAGGTCAAGGAGGTTGGCGTCGACATTGTCAGTGAACTCGTGGACCAGATCCGCGCCGTCAAGAGCAAGCGGACGACGGGGCCCCAAGGCTTCCACTTTTACACCCTCAACCTGGAGAAGGCCGTGTCTTTCATTCTCGAGCGTACCAATCTCATCCCCGACAAGGAGCAGGAGGACGAAGAGGCCGTGATTGACGACGCGACAACGCCGCCCGTCGTACCAACCGTCCAGATCAACGGTCTGCACCCCGGCTCACACCACCGGCCCGGACGCAGGCAGTCGTCGATCGGCTCCGACCCGCATAACCGCGTCATCGTCTCGTCGGCCTCCAATCATGCCTATGAAACCAATCCTGAGGGCGCCGGCCTGCCCGCCGAGCCCATCAACACGCGTGCCAACACGCTCGCCATCTCTGAGGGTGAAGGCGTCCTCGGGCGCGAGGCCACGTGGGACGACTTCCCCAACGGCCGCTGGGGCGACGCGCGGTCCCCGGCTTACGGTGAGATTGACGGCTACGGCGTCAGCCTGCACATGTCAGTGACGCAGGCCGTGCGTCTCTGGGGCCACCCCAAGTCCTCCGAGGACATCAGCACCCTCTTCATCAAGCACATCCGCGGCGAGCTCAGCGCCATCCCCTGGAGCGAGGAGGGCCTGTCGCCCGAGACCAACATTATCCAGGAGCAGCTTATCGAGCTCAACACGCGCGGCTGGTGGACCGTCGCCTCGCAGCCCGCCGTCAACGGCGTGCCGTCGCGCGACGCCACCTTTGGCTGGGGCCCGAGCCACGGCTTCGTCTTCCAAAAGGCCTTTGTCGAGCTCTTCCTGCCGGCCGCCGACTGGAAGGTGCTTTCTGAACGGCTCACAGGCCCCGAGGTCGAGGGCACCGTGTGCTTCTACGCCTGCAACGGCAACGGCGACTTTGCCACGTCCGACGACAGCGGCGGGCTCGTGAGGACGGCGGTGCCGGCGAGCACCAACGCCGTCACTTGGGGCGTCTTCCCGGGCAAGGAGATCATCACGCCGACCATTATCGAGGAGGTCAGCTTCCGGGCGTGGAGCGAGGAGGCCTTCAAGATCTGGGGAGAGTGGTCGCGGGTGTACGGCAGGGGGCACGAGAGCGAAAAGTTCCTCAAGTCGGTCAAGGACGAGTACTGGCTCGTCAACATCATCCACCACGATTTCGTCGAGACGAACGCGCTGTGGGATTTGCTGAGGGGGTAGGGCAGCCTAGTAATGGAAATATGATGCGCAAGAGCGTTTGGTGTATGCTGTCGGCCCGGGAGTCAGAGTTCTCCGACGTTGCGATTTTCACTCAACTTGAACGCCTTTCGATAGCTCCCAAGGTCCTGCCAGGCAACATCCCGTCACCGTCCTCTGCCACTGTGCATCCGTGGAATTGAATTTCGTCAAAGGACACAAATTGAGACCAGACAGACCAGGCAGATGTCGTCTTTCACAAGGGACTCCAGATGAGGACATGTCTTTGCGCCCCTGCTCCAGGTTGAGTAGGTCGCCAAAGCATTGAGATCCGCAAGAAACTGCATAGTATTCAGCAGCCACGCCCAAGCCAAGCTATAAAACAAGCTATAAATTATGGAAGGGCCAAACTCCCCAACTCCAGGGCCCCTGCTTTCCAGTTCCCATTGTCCCCGAGCCCGACGCTCACGGTACCCATCGGGCTCTCGCTGTGAAGTCTCTTTGCTCCACGCGAGTCGTTGCTCCTAGCCGCTGCTCCTAGCCGCTGCTCCTAGCTGCTGCCCAAAGCCCCCCATGGGAAACCTAAATCTCATCGTAATTCTCACTGCCGACAAACGACCCAAAGTCCACCCCGCCAAAGCTATCCCCCTCAGACGAAGCCCCAAAGTACTCGTCCATCTCCGTCTGGCCAAAGGCGCCCCCCGCGCCGGCCCCGTACCCCTGCGGCGCCGCGTCGTGATCAAACTTGACGCCCTCCCGCGACGCGGGCGCCGCCTCGGGCGGCGTGTTGGCCTCGCTGTCCGAGGTCGTCAGGTCGACGCTCGGCACGGCGGCGCGCGCGGCCGGCGCGAAGGGGTTGTTGAAGATTGTCGCGGGCCGGGTCGGGGCGGCGACGACGCGCTGTCGCGGTGGCGGAGACGGGAGCGGGGGCGGGCTTCTTGCGGCTCGAGCCCATGGGGTGGTCGTGAAGGATAGCTGTGAGGGTGTCGAGGCCGAGGGCGTCGTGGCCGGCGGTGCCCAACAAGTTGTCTTTGTCGTCCTCGCCCTCGGACGAGGCGGCGGCGCCGGTGGTGGCTCCTGTGGTCGGGGTGCTGGCGGCGGCGCCGCTGCCGCCGAGCTTGGTGCGCTTGGCTGAGGAGGCGCCGGAGCGGGACACGGCTGAGGCGGAGCGTTTGGAGGCTGTCGTCGGGGTGGAGGCGGCGCTTGGGAACGAGCCGGCTGTGGCGCGGGGTCCGCGTGGCGTCGAGGCCGTGCTGCCGGGGCCGAGGGAGAGGACGGAGGCCGGGTTGCCGCCGCTGTTGACGGTGGCTCTGAGCGTGTTGGCGTCCTGCTTGATGGCGCGGAACTGGAACTGGATGCCGTCGGCTGTGGAGCTGCCGAACATGCGGGCGATTTCTGGTGCGAGATGAGGAGTGGTTAGCTGGAACTGCATGCGAAGGTGTTTCATGACGAGCGAGAGAGAAAAGGAAAAAAGAAAAAAAAAAAAAAAAACCGAAGCAAAAACGCTGCAGGCTTGGAGCACGCAGGTATGGGCATACCCTTCTTGTCCTTGGGCAGGTCGGCGGGGACGTCCTTGCAGTCGACATTTTGCTCGCGCGCTTGGCGTACGACGTCGGCGTGCGCCTTGAGGGCGCGGAAGCGATGCTCGAGAGCGAACTCGGTCATGTCGGAACCGAACAAGTCCACAATCACTGCCTCACGTCAGAAAGACGGTCGGCGGGGAATGCATGATAAGAAGAAAAAGAGCATAGTGATGGCTCATAGTACGTACCCTTGTAGTTCCACTTGACTTCAGGGTGGGCGGCGATCATGGCGCGCACGAGGCGGGCCTGAGCCTCATATGTCTTGAAGTTGGTCTTGCTGGAGGGCGCCATTGCGTCGGCGGTTGGTCGCTGTTGTATGTGTTAGTGGACTGTCTGTTTAATTGCGTTCGTGATCGAATGAAGGGGTTTGGCCGATGGTGAGCCGGTTGAAAGGGGAAGTATAGGCATAGACAGGAGGGTAAACATGGAAGGAGACAGTTGGGCAAGTTTGGGCTAAACCGAGAGCAAAACAGCAAGTCGTTTGTAAACCACACGAAAGTGTAGAGGTGCTGGAAAGAGAGAACGAAAGTCTCTAGTTTGCAATGGTAGTAGAGGAAAGCAGGTAGAAGGTAAACCAAGATTGGAAAGCGCCGTTATCATACGTACAAGGAAGTGTAATTGGTGTGTTCCTCTGGGAAAAAGTTCTGAGATGATGACTTTGATGTCTGAAATGTGAAGCGCTGGTGGAGACTGTTAGTCGAGAAGTAACGATGGCGTTCAAGGTCTGGAGCAGAGCAGAACAGAGCCGGACCTGGTGTCGGATGATGCGTGGTGAAGGTAGGGCAAGAGGTGTAGGAGCAGAGTAACACGAGAGATGAGGGAAACAGCTCAAGAGAAAGAAAAATAAGAGCGTCGAAAGGGGAACTGGCAAGAGCCCAAGGACTGCCTCAAACAAGCCGACCAATAGGCAGTTGCCAAAGACTCAGGAAATTAGGAAGGTTTGGCGTCACACAAGGCGTCAACTTACCAGAAAGAAGGCTCTCTAGACTCGGTGGGGGAAACAGGGTGGGTATCTCAATGTATCTCGAATGCGGAAAGGCAATGTACCGATGAAGCTGAAAAGAGTCGTAGCTCGCCGGCTGGAGGGGGTATCAAGCAAGACGCAAGAGGCAACAAGACCAAACGCTAAGGGTATATCCCCCAAGTCGATCAACTGAGCGCCTGCACAAAAGCGCAAGAACTGATGCAGAGCTAGAAGACCATGAGCATCAGCCAAACGGCGAAGCCGAAACAGCAGCGGCGTCGAACCTACCCTCTTGGTTCTTGTGTACAACAACGTGGACGGGTTCGGCCGTCGAGACTTAGCAGCGGGCACTAGGGAGCAGCGAGCTCCACGGACCAGACCGAACCAGCCGAATAGATGCCAGACGGCTGTGGCTGCTGCTGCCGCTCTGAAGAAGTAGGAGGGCGATGTGGAGTGCTGGCTTGTTGTCTACCTAGCTTCCGTGTAAGTGGGTTGGCGGTTTGGCGGCGCTCTGGTTTGTTGTAAGCGTAAGCACAAGCGGATATATTGTGTGCAGGCTAAAGTCCCGGGCAGTCAATTGTTGCTAGGTCGACTGCGAGGTGCACGGCATATAGGGGGAGTGTGTGTGTGTGTGTGTTCCTGTGGTGTGTGTTCCTGTGGTGTGAGAGACAGAGGGTGTGGCGAGGTAGGCAGAAAAGGAGGAGGCTGGGGTTGGGGTGGCTTGGATCGACTCCTGATGGTGGTGTTGTCGTGTGTGTCCCAGATAATGTGGTACATCGCCGACACCCTCTGAAGGGCGCAACCAACCACAAAGCCCAATTGAATTGAGAGCAAAAAATTCATGTGTGCTGGCGACATGCAGTCCTACGCATGGTCAAACTTCTGGGTATTAAAATTCTATATCAAGTGGTGGCTCGCCCCTCCAGATAGAGGCCTCAGATGTAGCTCTTCACACGATTTCACGGCGGTGCACAGCATCCAGAGGAACGCTGAGGCTGCCACCCACACGCCCACAGCACCCCTGCCGCCCGTCTTGTCGTGCGCGCGCGCTTCCCTGCCATCTGCCGGTAGTTCCCTGGACCCTCCTTTATAACGCCAAGTACAATGCTTTTTTTCTTCTTTGCCGTTGAGGTCAGTTCTCTCATTCGCCAATGGATTGGCCTGCCAGCCAACATGCGATGCGGGGTGGTGCGAGGGATCATCCGTCCCATCCGTCATCCAAATGTGTCTCGCTTTCTCATACAACAGGCACACCCAAACGCCAATTCCAGAGCATCAACGTACAAACCGATCGATCATGTCCTGCCACGCAGCCCCTCCACGGCGAGTCACGCCTGCGTCGGCCGCCCGTTTATCTCCAAGACGGGCGGCTTGAAGGTGCCCGGCTGGAAGTCCTCGAGCGGGTGCTCCTTGACGACCACAGGCGCTGCGCTGTTGTCGCCGTACATGACGTACTGGATGCCCAGGAGGGAATCGCAGCAGGCTTGGAAGATGCCGCACATCTTGAAGGCCGGCGGGATTTCGGTCGAGGCCGTGAAGAACCAAAAGACCTTCATGGCGTCGCCGATGAGCCAGCTCGCCAACAGGGAGACGCGGAACCCCTTGCAAGACTGGACGCGGGCGTTGGTGAGGATCTGGGGGATCGGAAGGATGGCCTCGATGCCGAGGCCCAGGAAGCCAATGGCGGTCGAGTAGGTACCATAGACGGCGGGAATGGGCGTCAGAACGAGCTCGAGCGCGAGCAGGCCGATGAAGAGGTAGAAGAGGGCGTGCCAGTACCTAGAGGGAACGAGGCGCGAGGTTAGCGGTGCTGCGGCATCGGAGCGCATTCATTTTTGCCATGCGACACCAGTCCA